AAGACAGTACAACTACAAGTCACAGAAAAGGTCTTAAGCTTGTTCCCAGAAAGAGAGGAACAAACACTTAGTGACAAATTGCAGGAAGTCTTCTTCATATGTTTTGCTTAACATTGTGTTAAGAACTTTTCAGCAAAACTAGGGAGAGGGTCTAGTTTTTAGAGCAACATTCAGTCTTAGCAGACTTTCCCTTTCTAGTTTGGCAAGTTTCATGCCATTATTATACACTTGCTTATAACAGAAGGCAGTTCTACACTAACATCCAGATTTTTGTTCTCAGCTATTGGTAAAACGTGTCCATGACGTTTTCTTCGGCAGCTCTGTGTAATATCAGGCAAAGAGCTAATTTTTTTTTTGCCTTACTATTTGCTTTCTGCGGATTCCTAAACTCTGTATTATAAGCCTTAATGTTTTTTGGCTGTGTATTAGTCAAAATGACATCCAGTATCAAAAGATAAAACAAGGCTATCTTTCTTAACCGTCTTGACATCATAGGCTCAACTTTTTAGGGAAGCTTTTCACCTTAGAGAGCACCTGAATTACATATACCCTGAAGTCAGTAACCAACTCAGGTGGTTTCCTACCATCCCGGTCAAAGGAGCTCTGAGGTGCCTTAGACAAAAAAACCCAATAAAATGTATGCTGCTTGATGCGTTTGCAGAAGCAATGCTAACAATTCAGCATTGCAAGCGTTGTCCCTCCCAAGCTACAAATCCACAGCGTCAATCCCCCCCCCAAATATTAATGTGAGATATATCTGTCTGATGGAACTTCATTGCTGAAATGAGATTCTAAGACAAATCATTTCCCTTCTACTAGTGCCAGCATGAGGAGTGTTATGAAAAGTTAAATTTATTTGCAGAATCACTGGAAAAGTAGATGCTCAAGCACGTATTTCTCACAATATAAGAAAAAATACAGATTGTAGAGAAAGCTGAAGCTTTTCTAGTACACAGCATAAAACTTACCAAGAGAGAACAATTCTAAGATGCTGAGAGGTATCTCCAGTTGTCTTGTAGCTATGCACAGGATTTCTTAACAGATACCCACATACAGCTTTCATCCTTACCTTTGCCCATATTTTCTAGGCTTTCAGTAGGCATTTCCATTAATATGGCAGGATTTTAAGAGAGAACAAAATGGCAGTAAAACAGCACACTTACTGAAAACAGCAAAGTTGATACTGGGGTAATACTGAAAAACAATTTCTTAACTTTTAATAGTTTCTCTTATTGAAAAAAACAACTGTGACATAAACTAAAACATTACAAAACAAGTATTTATAGCTCATTGGCAAAAAAAAAAATTTTCCCTGTGGAAATTGCAGTATCAGACACGTTATTGGATGCCTGAGGGAATTCTTACGATTCTGTGCTCTCTGCCTTAGTAGCTGCTATTCTTAAACACAGAGTATAAAATACAAGATAAAGTGAATTACAGCAAACCAGGTTGCCAAGATACTAATCCAGGGTAGCTTTCAATGTAATGAAAAAATCATAACGTGTTTCGACTTTAGAAAATAACTCCAAATTGACTGAGACACTTGAGGTGGTCTAGCAGATTTCTGCTCAGTTTAATAGGACTGTATCATTACAAATAGTAAGCTCTCTGCTCAGTTGTATTTTCATGATCCTGTCTCAAAGTCAAAATAAAATACAAATTGAGGACATCATCTGAAGTTCAGTACCTCAGCTAGCTAGTTTGGAAAACACATACTAACAACCAAAACTTACACATAACAATGCAAAGTTGCATACCAGAGTGATTCCTTGATTTCTACAGGGATTGAATCCAGTAAATTAGCAGTATAGATGGGAAACAGAGCCTGGGTCAGTGGTAGTTGGCTTTTTTAGCTTAGGAATAGTTTTGTTATTGTTATTTTTTTATAGCAACAGTGACAACATAATACTCTGTTCCCTTCCTTCACTATGTCAGTAAGGCACATTCCAGTGCCACGTCCAGAGAACTAGGCAGAGGCAAAGCTGGATAGCCACCATTTCCATATGCTCTTACTACCCTAAATATCCAAGCTATGTTCAGTGGAGAAGGACATGTAGCAGCCAACATCATAACTGTCAGCTTCTCAAATCCTCATGCACTGTTCCTCATACCACTCTCTGAAGTGTATGGTCTCAAACTCTCTGATCCTTCAACCCCAAATATGGGCCTCAGACCTCCTTCACATATATACCTCTCAAGACCCACATCCCCCATACCTAACCCTCTAACTCTATTTAGAAGTCCCACTCTCATTCTCCACACCATATTCTGCCTCGTTATCCATACTTCTCATGTACAGCCCCACAGCTTTCCTTCCTCACACTCCACAGCAGTCAAACAGAGAATCATGGTGTTTTTTGGCACTGGTGCCCAGGCACTGTTTTGCATGCCATGGCAGCACATGTGCAACAAACAACTCCATGACACTCCATAAATCACATATGGGTATCACAGATCCATACTAATTAGGATGATGTACAACGGAAGGATTCCAGTGAGTAGAAAAAAAATAAAAAGCAGCATATACAGATTAGAAGTCAGGTGCTTAGCAGAATCAAGTCATGCATTAGCAGACCCAGGAAGCAAAAAAGAACTGGAATAGGAGAGCACATAAGTTAAACAGCATTCAAAGATCTGTGATAACTCAGAGGGACCTAATGGCACTGTGATGTTAGAACAGTGGTTTCCAAACAAGGAAATCAGCAACTGTTGTATGTGATTTTCTCGACTGAAGACATTGATTAATCCTTCACTTTCATGAAATCTGAAGATTCACTGTTTTAATAGAAGAAAATTTGAACAGAAGCTATTTAAAAGCTGCTTGACAGAACCAGTCATTTTATGAAGAAATACAATTAATATGCTCAACCTGGAAAAAATGTATATGCTGGCATTAAAAAGTCACTTCTGTAATTTAAATTATCCTTATAATCACTGCCTCTCAGATGCATCTCATCAAACCATAAAACCAGACTATTAAATTAAAACTTGCACTTTAAAAATTCACAATCCTTGTGCTAGGAATATGAATATCAACCTCTGCAGTTATTCAGCAGATTCGGGCATTTTGAAGATTACCACAAGGGGCCATTAGAAGAACCAAATCTGCAATCTTTATTGATTTAAGAGTGATCCAGCTGTACTTAGATAACTGTTACTCAAGTAAGCTACTGTTGTAAGATTATGACTTTCAGAGGTTTACATTTATGCTACAAGGCAACCAGGAAAGCTACCATTAGATCCATTAGGTCTCATTATCTTCGTGCCTATTTAGCTCTTCTTGTTGGCTCTAAGCATAATAATGAGACCAGATTACAGTCAAGTAAGAAACCAAACACTCAGTGAGATGCAGCTATAAAAATGGTGAAACAATTTTCCCCTGTTTGTGATGGCTTTTATGTTTTTCTGTTTAGGCTTTTTCCTATACATACATATTTTGCAAAATTTTGGGGGGCTTTCTGCAAACATTGCAAAGTTAGCACAGCAACCATGTAAAATCATAAGCATGTTTTTAAAGTCTCCCATAGCCACATTTCCTAGACAGAATACGAATTACGTGATCAGTTAGTACTGTAATTCCAATGAAATTAGTATTGCATACTTTTTTTGCCATTAAAAACAAAAAAACCCTTTTACCTTTTTTCTAGTTGTTTTAAAAGATTTGATCCTTAACACCACATAGAACTTCCTCAAAGTGAAATCACATTCAGTAGTGCTAAACTTCCCTGGGGAAACTCAATATTAACATAAGAGGACCCACTGTGTTCTTTTCCTGTTTACAACATGCTTTGGTTCTGCATATCGCATTTAAAAAAATCCACTACCTCACAGAATAGTTGAGGTTGGGAGGGACCTCTGGAGACCATCTAGTCCAACCCCCTGCTCAAGCAGGGTCACCTAGAGCAGGTTGCCCAGGACTGTGTCCAGAGGGCTTTCGAGTATCTTCAAGGATGGAGGCGCCACAATGTCTCTGAGCAACCTGTTCCAGGGCTCAGTCACCCTCACAGTAAAAAAAGCTTTTTCTTAGATCCAGACAGAATTTCCTGTGTTTCAGTTTGTGCCCATTGCCTGTTGTCCTGTCGCTGAGCACCACTGAAAGGAGTCTGGCCCCATCCTCTTTACACCCTCCCTTCAGCCTCTCCTCATATAAGAGATGCTCCAGACCCTTCATCATCCTAGTAGCCCTTCGCTGGACTCGCTCCAGTAGCTCCACGTCTATCTTCTACTAGGGAGCCCAGAACTGGATCCAGCACTCCAGATATGTCTCACCAGTGCTGAGTAGAGGGGAAGGATCACCCCTCTCAACCTGCTAGCAATGCTCTTCCTAATGCAGCCCAGGATACCGTTGGCCTTCTCTGCCACAAGGGCACTTTAGTAGTATCAGATTGTTACTATTAGCCCTCAGCTCTTTCTAACAAAACAACAGCCAATCTCTGTGCCATGCCACTAAAGAAACTTCAAACACTGATGGCTTGAAGTTGCCTTGAAGCATTATGTAAAATGACTAACATTCTAATGAACAATATGAAGTGTTATTTAAGTATCGTTAACATCAGGAAAATCACTCTAGCTGAAATTCTCAAAGGTACTTCGATAATTTTACTATTGACTTCAAGAGACAGAATTTGAACCTTAGATTTTTTTCCCTAACACTTAGAGCACTCTTCACCCCTCTTCAGTTGGTTTACACTAAATTCCCCAAGAATCAGGAATTTATACTGGCACAAACTTTTGTATAGGAGCAGAGTCAGATGAACAAAACTGCCCTTGCTGCTCTTCTGAAATCTCTTAAGATCCCCATGGAACTGTTGTTTCCAAATTTATCGGAGAGTAATACTTCCTGTGTATGTCCATTCATCCCTCCAAAGTGACCCCTTAAGAAAGGAACTTACTCTCTTTAAACATATTTACATTTTATTTTTATAGCAAAACGTTGGAAACAAAATCTATTTGTTCTAACATGCAAAGTGTTAGTTACTTTGACAACTAGTCTTCAACTTTTCTGCATATTGAATGCTCTGCAGTTTCAAAACTCTACTTTGCACATAAAGTGTACAATAAAAGTAAAATATAAATAAAATAGTTTATTACAAGTATTTTAAAAGAGCTCTACAATACACCTTCAAAACATTTTATACAGTGTTCTGTCTTTCAATATGAAACAATTCACATAGGGAGAAAAGAACCTCAATGCACAGCTATAGTCAATCTTAAGGTACTGAATTAGCCTGTCATACAAAGATCACAGTAACTACAGACTGTTTCCAAGTATTTTTCTTGGTTTCAGTCTCTCTGAAGATGGGAAAGAGTCACATGTAGGAAAATAAAATAAAAAAACCCTTCACCCGTCACTTCATTTATACTGAATACTACAGAGCTTATGCCACAACAAGACCTAGATAAAACACTTCAAAAATTAAAAAGTCAAAAACAAGTTACTTAAATAAATATTGATCTATTTAAATAGTGAAAAGAATGCCATGTATCTTACAGTTATGTTAATTTAGACACAGAATTAAAACTTTGTGTTTCAACGATTCAGAAGTTGCACAACAGCGGAAAACATACTAATAAAAGGTAGTTTTTTCAGAGGAAAAAAATGAATTTCTTACTCAAAATGAATAAAGTTCCACTAAATTTATAGCTTTTGCCAACCCCATGGGCACAAGAGGCAAAGCCCTCCACTTACCAGAAAGTAAGTATACTTACAGATTCTCTTAATACAAACGGGAATTAATTTGAACTAAATGTCATTTTCAGTTTCTTACACTTAATGTAACGAGAATATGACTTTCTGACAAAGCTGCGTGTCATAGTTATTATCACATCTTAGAAAATTTTTCTGTAACTGGTGCAATATGTATGCTAGAAGGAAAGCAGACCAGTACTCCGTGAGCAGACAGTACGTGTGTGCAATAATATTAATTTCTTATCCTCTTGCAGCAAAATACTTCAGAACTGACCAAAAAACTAGAAAAGGCAAGAAGTACACTAAGAAGAAGAGATAATGAAGTGGTGAAAGGGATGAACTGATCATAAACCTTAGTACTTTAGCATGTCTACTCATACTGTGTCATAAGGAAAATTACCTAATTGCTCTATATAATCCATAGATTTCCAAGCACATTACAAAGCAGTAAACATTTTTCTCTATTAAGTGTTCTATATTGCTACATAAACAATTTTTCTCATTAGACTTTTTCTGCTTCAGTTTTTTCTTTTTTGAATCTTCTCAGTCTAAAAATAACCATCAGTTTTTAAAAAAGCACAAACTAAACAAAGCAAGTGTTCTTTGTTTGCAACATCTAGGAAGGCAGGAGAATGTAAAAGGACCATTTTTCTGTATGCTGGGAATTACCTTTTTATCTTTACTTTTTGATAGATATCATTGGACTGCATACTACCACAAATACTAGACAGGAAAAGGTATAACGTTTAAAATACCTGATTCAGAGAGCACTGCACATTGCCACAACACTAATAATGCAGTAACAACGTGCATTTATAAATCCCTTTAAAGAAAAGAAATGTATAATGGTTTTTTGTTCCTTTTTTTTTTGTTTTTACCATAGTCTCAGATACATCACAAATCACATCAGGTAGACAGTTTTGAAGACAGTAAATGAACTTTTCTTCAGGTCATCTCCATAACATAAGAGAGAACTCCTTTCAGTCAACCGTTCAGTCAATAGCAGCCTTTTACTAATTAGGTAACCAAAATGTTTGACATAATTTAGTGGGACACTATCAATTTTTGATGAAAACAATTTCTCTGGTGGCTGCTATCCTACTCAGTTGAACTGATGTTTAAGCTCTCTTTTTAAAGTGAGTAAGGTGATGCCTTTTCAAATGTGGGGCCTGTCTAAAATTTTTACCACAAACTGAACATTCAAACGGCTTCTGTCCAGCATGCATTAGATAATGTCTTTCGAGCTTAGAAGGTGATTTAAATGTTTTAAAGCAAACACTGCATTGATATAATTTCTTAATAACTTCACTTTTTCCTGAACCTTCAGAAACATTGTAACAATGACTGTAAGGGCTTTGCTCTGTTTTCAGGGATTTACTGCACAAATATGGCTGTGCGTCTCTACTGCTGGTGTCCAGAACAAAGTCCCCGGGCTCAATTTCAACTTTGATTTCAGCTGCTTGATTTGACTGAATCAGCACAAAATCTTGAAAGCCAGATTCCTGTGAAGGTCTTTGGGAATAACCCACAGGCTGAGAAGACTTAAATTCAATGTGATCTCCCTGATGATTGAAAAGTTTGTTCAGATTTTCAAATTTCACCTGGCAAAGGGGGCTTTTACAGGATCTCTTTTCAGTATGGGTGAGCTGATGTCGTTTTAAGTGAGCTGACTGTCTAAATGTCTTCCCACAAACATTACAGCCAAAGGGCTTCTGTCCTGTGTGTATAAGATAATGTCTTTGAAGTTTGGATGAAGAAGGAAAGATTTTTTCACATCTGTCACATTTACACACTTTGTGTCTGTTATGTATATTTTCAGTAGGAGCTGAAAAAGCACAGTGAAGTACTTCTGGATTATCAAAGAAACCATCATCTGATGAACCATAAAAAGCATCATCTTTATTATGCACTGATTCATCGACGTTTAACATTCTTTCACCAGTAAGCATACCTTTTAAGTTAATTCCTAACTCGTGATGTTGCAGGTGCTCTTGCCAAGGTAATGGCACAGTGAACGCTCTTCTTTTCTTATTACTAATCGCCTTGTGCATGACAAGCTTGCTATGGCAGTCCTTGAAAGGTTTAGTAGAAGCACTCTGATCAGAACGCTGATCTCTAGCTGCAATCGGGTCACGACTTCTCAAGTGACTTGACTTAATTCTTTTTCTGTCAGGCAGAGAAGAATTTGATGCCTTTTCTCCAGCATGCTTCAGCTTCATCAAAATCTTATTTTTCATGCTGACTTTGCGGCTGCACACTGCTGTACCATTATTTGAACTTCTGCCATCTCTCAGGTAAAAACATTTGTGCAAATTCAGAACCTGTTCTGTTTCAAAACACTGCTCACACACTGGGCACTGGTAGGGTACAATATAAACAGAATGAGCATCATGAGGGTCATTCTCTTGGGACTCGTAAGTATCAGCATTCTCCAAACTATCCCTCTTTCCTTCCAATGAGTTTTGTGGTCTAGAATATTTAAGATTCTTCACTTTGTATATAATATTGGGGTAGGTCTTATTTCTAGCGTGGAGCTGTTTGTGCTTCATGAGTTTGCTCTGTATTTTAAACCCCTTCTGACAAAAACAACACTGAAAAGGCCTTTCTTCTGTGTGTGTGAGCTGATGGATTTTTAAGTGTGTTGACTGTCTGAAAGATTTACCACATGAAGAACACTTAAAGGGTTTCTGACCAGTGTGAATAAGAAAATGTCTTTGTAGTTTAGATCTTGATGGAAATGTCTTGTTGCATGATTCACAAGCATGAGTTTTCTTTCTCCTTCTGGTACTACGTAGATGATCTGCCTTTGGGCACTGATGCAGCATCCACCTCTCTTCAGTTGCAAAAGATTTCCGGCAAACAGAACATCGAAATATGCCACAAAAGGCCCTATCTTGCTTTAAATCCACAGGTTTTTCTGCTTGCTTGATATCATTCTGGTAATTTTCATTATGAAGCTGCTGATGTTTAAAGAAAGTGATTAAGTTTTTGAAGTTTCTGTGACAAACAATACACTTAAAAGGCAGGTTGTGAGTTAACTGATGCCTGTCCAGATGGACTAGCTGTCTGAACGTTTTATGGCATACATGACATTCAAATGGCTTTTGACCAGTATGTATCAGATAATGCCTAGCTAATTTTGATGGAGTTTCAAACTGTTTATAGCAAATGTCACAAACATATGGTCTTTTCCTGGGTATCCTGTTAGCTGTTACACACTGCTGAACTTTCAACATTTTTAAAGAACAATTACACCTTGCCTATTGTTAATTTCTTCAAATAAGTACTTCAAGTGAAATCATCAATTCCACACTAAGATGGAAGGGTGTAGAAGCAGCAGACTTTCTTAGGAGAGACACTCTTAAATCCCACAGGTCCCTAAAATAAGAGAGAGAGTATTATTTTAGCCTACGTTAATACATAATTGCCTAGGTTTGTCTCACTTTCTACCTAAGAGACCAACAACATCTGAATTAGAATACGTTTAATTTAACTAAGCTGAAAATGCTTCGTACTAACAGCGTAATCGCTCATTATGTTACATGAGATGGAAAAAAGGGACTATTTTCCAGAAGAAAGAAATAAGTTTAAGTCGTCTGTTCTGTAATGCAGATATTTTTTAAACCTGCATGTTACTTCCAAATCATATGAACTTCAGCTACGTTCTGATATTTACATTATTTACAGATAAACATATCCTTTAAAAATATACTTACTGTGATGTACTTCTCCCTTACAACAGTAATTCTAATTACCAGATAAAATATTTATGAAAATGAGAGAAAGAGAACAGAACTAGAGATTCTTGGACTTCAGAAATAAAAATGCAGTGTATGTGAGAACTGAAAATTAACAATAGACTGAAACTAAACACAAAGAGTTACTATTCACATTTCTGTATCTTATCAACCATCTCCAGAAGAAATGGTACTGTAATCATTTTTGCTTTTATCTCAAAATGGCAAATGCCAGAACCAGTCAGAGTAACAGACAGTAACCATTAACTATTACCAGGATGAGGATGGCCACTATCTCTAAAGTAAGGAGCACATGGTATGTTCACTGTATCGCAACTGAGCTAGAATTTCTGAGTTGTGGCATTCACTGATGTGTATATGCTTAAGTCATCACAAATATAAAATAATAAAATCAAATAAAACAATGGGGTTATTTTAAATCATGATAAGGAATGCAGTATCGATAATGCAAAATCATGCAACAGTTGGTTTTAAGTCTCCTTGAACTGTCAATAGTCAGAGCGCACTTAGGCAAGCTACTGTGTCTCATCTAACGCGTAATGACTTGCGAACAAGAAAAAAATAACTCTTGATGCTCTCAGTTACTTGCAATTTTATTCAAATGTTCACAGAAACAGCTAAAAAGGACCTCAAGCAACCATTTAGTCCAAGCTTTCCACCGAGAGGCCAGCTCAGATCTAGACAACCTCCAAAATGTTCTCAAGAACTTTTGCTGAAGGAGCTTTTTTTTTTTTTTAAAAAAAAAAAAAAAAACATCACTAGGCTTCCTGCTCCAATGCTTTGAAGCTTTTCCTCATACTCAGCTGAACCATTCTTTAATAGAAAGGATTTTTTTGTCCTTTCCCCTAGGAACATGGAAAATTGAAGGATGTTCTCTGTAACAACCCTATGAATTCAAAGTCTCCTTTCTTTCCTCTTTTCTTTCCTTTTTTTAAATAAGAAAATTCTAGTTTTCTAACTTTTGCTTTTAAGTCTTCTTTTCTGAAAAAAATGATCACTCTTTTTCATCTCCTCTGGAGTAATTTCAAATGGTCATATTGTTCCTAAATTGCAGCACCTAAACAGATTCAATATTCCAGGCCACAGGAGTAATAAGAATAAAAATACCTCTACAGTATGAGCTATTTCCCCTTATTAAAAAAAAGGGAGAGGGGAAGCAAATTTTAAAATAAGCATAATAGATCTTGTAATAACTTTGAGATACACAATAAATGATTTATAACTGTAATTTATTAATTATGATTTGATACCGCAAGTTGTGTATTCCTTCTACATATCAGCATAAGATATAATTTTAAAAAAATTGTTTATTCAGCGTCTCTAAAAGCCCTTCCTCTTGCCAAAGAATTGATGTTCCTAATTAATAAAAATTCAGAGATAAATATCTGAAAAGGAAAAGTCCACTCTAAATTATTCCACAGAATAAAAGCCTACTACAATTTAACGCAAATTATGTTGAAAGTCAACAATGTAACATTGACACAACACAAAAGACTGAAAATATCTGGTGAATCAAGCTTCTCAGATGTAATGGAAAGAAACTTAGTAAACTAGTAGGATCTTTCCAATAGATATGACCTTATATAATTGTTGGCCTTATTTAATAATGCTTGGATGTACGCTTTAGAGGCAGTAGTCCCTACACTGTGGAATTCTCTAATCTATCAGAATTTACCAGTGGAGTGGAGCAGCTGAGAAAGTCAGCTTTCTCTGTCCTGTTCTCTCTTCTGACACAATTTTACCAGGCACTCAGTTTCAGCCTTCTTTTTGCTGAAGAAGGTGCAAGACTGCCCATAACAATACTCTTAAGAGATCCCCTTTTCCTGCCAGTTGCTGTCACATAACATGAAGGCAGGGAGTTGACAGTAAGGATGTAACACCAAATGCTTTCTAGCCTGTCCTGGAGCAGAGTTAGAGACAAGGAGTCTGAAGAAAAGAGCCTATTTCTCTGCTCTGCTGGAACTTCCTTTACAGCTAAGGTTCACGGCAGCCTCTGCTAGGAGGGAATGAAAATCTCCTGAGAAAGAAGTACTGTAAAATTTTAAGAATTCCAGTAAAGACACTGTCATACAGATCTAATTTACACATCAGGAAAGTGCTCAAATATCACAGTGACATACAAAGAAAAAAGTCCAAAGTGAGAAACAGCCGTGACATATTATAAAAGGGATTCTATGTTTAGCTTATGAATGTATTAAAGATTCTATCTGGTGAACGAGGAAAAAGCTCTGTAGTATAAGGTGTCTAAAGCAGAGTACTGCTTTTTGCTATGGTCTTCTGCCTGTGAAAGCCTGAAGGTTCAGATGAGCTGAACTTTATGGGACGCAGGGAAAAGAGAATGCAGCTAAAATGGGTGTTATTGTGTGGCCTAAATATATTTTCAAATCCTATTTACTAAGGATAGATTTCTCCACATCTATTTCAGGGTGATCTGTGCCCTGCATATCTAAGGAATAAACATGCTACTGCTAAAGATCAAAAAACAGAAGGCAAGCTTGGAATATTCTTGGCTACCAAACCTGGAACTACACAAGCTTGTCCCCATTAGAGTCAGAAACATGTACTTTCCTATGTGCTAAGGTTTTACTTTCTGGACTAGGTGCAATTTAACATTAAATTGATAGTACTTTTCATCTTGGCTGCAAGGTCATGCAGAAAAATAGGATCAAGAAGTAATGTAGGCCACTGAAGGTCCACAGGAGATCCTCCTAAAACTAGTATTGTTTAATGATTAAATAAAGATTATGTTTATTAATTTTGTGGATGACAGCAAGCTGAAACAAGCTGAAAAGCATGATGGAAGAAAATTCTGAATTTTAATCCTGTCTTCACTGATCAGATAAAGCTTGGGGGGGAAAAAAAAACACAGAAAATGTAAGATTTTCTGTTCAGGCAGGAATAATCAACTGGAAGGGGAAAAACTTATGAGGTAATAGTTATACAGAAAAGACCTGGAGACTAAGTGGAACAGAGGCTTTATATGTCAATAGTGTTTGTTATTTTTTCACAACAGCATGCCATCAAACCAGGATGTATGAACAGAATTACAGCTTGAATGGCACATAAATATTCCGTACTACTCAGTACTGCTCAGGCCTCAGCTGGAATACTCTCTCCAGTTTTGAATACTACCCTTCAAATTGGCTCATGTGCGTGAACTAATTGGAAAGAGACCAGGAAAGGGGATCAAGAATGATCACAGCTTAAATACATAACACACAGGAAAAGATTAAAGTAGCTGGAAACGTTTAATCTAAAGAAGAGGTGACCTGGTAAAAACAAATCCATAAAAGCCAGCTGCAAAGGATAAGTTGTTCCCCATGTCACTTACAGTTATGACAAGAAGTGAGTTCAAATTATTGCACAGAGAATTCAAGTACGTTATTGTCTTTACAGTTACAAAGGTTTTCTTCATGAGCATACAAATAAGTCACGTAGGGAGACTGTACAACCTCCAGCACTGGAGATCTTCAAAAGGGGCTAGACAAACATCTTTCAATTTCCCACACACATACTGCTCATCTTGCTTTGATGCATGGGAATAAACACAAGATGAACATTCAAGCTTGTTTTTCTATGACTCATTAACATACCTAAAACAAGCCATTTAAGAATTGAAAATACATTGTGTTTCCAATTTGCCAGTGAAGGAGTGTTCCAAGTTGTTTTTAGTATATCTGTAGACCCTTAAAATACGCTAATGTTTATAGTTTTCCAGACACAAACACAAGAAAATTAATTATAATAATAAACATGTGTGAAGAAACACAACGTGCCTCTTGTTACGTTAACTACAAAAGGGACAAGTGAAAACCTAGCTGCTGATGGACAAAGTACTTAGCATGCAACCTCGATAAGAATCTGAGCACTGAGACAAACATGTTGTAGCCTGGATTTCTTCACCAGCTTTCCTACCGAAAAACATAATTATTGTAATAGGGAATAACGTTGACCAGCAACATAATCCCCCCCCCCCCAAATACTTACAGGGAAATCAACAAGTGTTACTGTCCCTCAAGCTAACGCACCTCCTGGGTCCCCACTTTCCATGCATCTTTCAAAACGTGTGATGAAGCAAAAACGAAATTAAAAAAAAAAATCTACAAACTAGGAAAAGAAAACGGGACAAGTTTTAAGTACAACAAGCCTAAATGCTCTTTAAACAGCTTGAGACGCCTGGCACAGACTCTTTCCACCCCAAATGGATAAATCCGGAACGCTTTTCCCCCAAACCAGGCGCAGCTGAGTTTAGTTAAAATACTTGAGACCAACTCATGAAGCGGCTCCTATGGGAAGCAGACCGCGAACGGGCAGACAACCAAGGGCAGCTTCCCTCAGCGCAAAGCAGCGCCCTCCGCTGAGGCCGCCGCGGCCCGGCCCGGCCCGGCGCCCCGCGGCCGCATGGCG